TATCTTCTATATATCATATTTATCAGTCGGAGCAGCATTTATTTAATTATAAACAACAATATCATGCCAACTACATGCATATGCAATATATATCGGTATATACGCACCCCAAAGTTTACTTGAAATCTTTCTTAATATCCTGTTACATGGCCCTGTTACCAATCAACTGGCAGTTAGCAAAATAAGTTTTGTTCTTTAAAAAAACTACAAAGTATACCAAAGACAACTATAAGAGTTTAAAATACACATTTATGAAACACTGTTCAAAGTTTAAATATTCTATTGTGTATCAAATGAGTCTACTTGCACAGTTTGTAAGATTTACAAAAGTAAAACACTAAATTTTTTTTTATTTTTAATTCAATATATGAATAACTTTGCACTGATGATGAAAATACTGTTAATTATACTGTATTTGCTCTATTAGAAGCCCATATACAATATAAGCGCATATAAACCAAAAATCACATTGTGTAATATATTCAGCAAAGATTTATTTCAAACATGATTTTTGTTTTAACTCAACACTGGTTACCTGTAACCATAACAAAGGACCAAACACAATCAAATTATGACTACCGGGTAGTAATATAATCAGTTGTATATTTATATAACCATATTTGTTCTATTAGAATCCGTACAAATAATTTACATAATTATCATTTCTAAACTTCCAGGAGTGTCATAATTTTCAGCTCACACATTCATTCTAAGAGAAGCGTTCGTAACGACAAATACAGTAAAAACAGCGTAGTTGTTCCTTCACAACAGCATATACAGAGTTTAAATAAAAATATATTACGTTATTGTTGTTGAATGGTCACTGGTATCAAATCTTTGTTGCAGGATCTCCACCAGTCAACATAGACTCGCTGTATATAGTGCTAACGTAACTCTGCCACATTGAAGAGTTTTGTTATAGTGTGGATAGTGTAATCAATACTTGAACACAATCAATCATCAAGCATTAATTTAGTGAGCTTCATTCATGCGTAGCTAAAAAAAAAATAACAGTATTGCACACTAACATAAGCACTACGTGTATATATATATATATAAATTGAAAACTACTGTCAACAGATACGGCATGTGTCCCTTTAACTATTGAAATGACAATATTGTTGACTCTACACATCCATACTACAAATAATTGCATAACGTACATTGCCTGAAGAATACAATAGATTACCATATATGGTATGTGAAATATGCAACACCAAAACTGGATTCACATTGAAAAAAAAACTGTACTATTTGAGTAAAAGAAGTATCTAACAGTAAAAGGGGTTGTCAGCATTGTGCTCTGCAGTAAATGTACAGGTAATGATATGCATAGGAGGCCCTGCATTCTATTATATGACAAGAATTGTTCACAGTGGCAGGTTTTCAAATACAAGAACTTTAAAGTTTGTTTCTTTCAATTGTATTATTTTACAAAACTAACTACCTACTTTCCTGCATGGATAGTTGGTTAGGTACATTAAAAAACCTGCCAAAGTCGTTAAAATAACACCACAGTAACTACTACAAGCAGTGTCTTAATTAGAAATTATATTAACCTATCTGTCAACAAGTCATTGTCAATGACACGTCCCCGTTCCGTTCATATTTGAGTGACATATACATTCAAAGCAGATCATGACCGAAATGCACCTGCATATGTACAACACATTGTGCTAAATCTGAACAAAATCCATCCATGCATGACTGAGATCCGGTTCTGGAATTGTGAAAATATGTGATTTTGATGCATTTTCGGCCTTAAAATGGCCATCATTCCGCTATTGTTAAGCAGATCATGAAACAAATGCACATATCTATTTGTGACATGATGTACCATGTGTGTGTGAAGTTTGAACTTGATCAATCCAGACATGTCTTGGATACGGATCCAGAACTGAATTCTTTAACAAAATGGCCGCCAGTCGGCCATTTCGAACTTGATCCGAAAAAAAAAAAGACGTGCATCAAGGTCCTATTATGTTTAATGTATGTACCAAATTTGAACAAAATCCATCCATGCATAACTGAGATACGGGTCCGGAATGGTGAAAATGTGCGATTTCAATGCATTTTCGGCCTTAAAGCGGCC